TACCTGGCAAAGGTAGTCACTGAATAATTTTTGACTGCTTGAATAAATAGAAATAACATTATAATAGTGTAGTCTTACCAATGACAAAGAAGAATAGAGTTGCAACAATGAGTGAAGCTATAAAAAGTGGCAAATTCTAAAAAGAGGCTAAAGATAGAAAAAATTGATAAAAAGTAAATGCATCTTATCATTATGAAATTATAAATAAATTTTAAGACCAATTTAGGTATAGGTGTATATTAAGAGCAAACTATAATTGGCTACATAATTAGTGGGAGGCACAGAGACAGATGCCCTAAGTGTAAGCATGATACAGTAGATGCTTTTCTTAACATCTGGATTCCCTTCACACCATATGCCAATACTGAAATTTTCTGCACCATTATTATCAACTATGAATTCAATACCTATTTGGCCCTGTCCTTAAATAGGCTACTTTCTCATGGGGAATCTTAAATTCAAAAGAACTGCCCTCTTTATTTTTACCTCTGTGTAAATAAGTAGCCATATATCTGAAAGTTATGAGAATATGTCATTGCTTAGAACGCAAAACATTGCTATGAATTTAAGTTTCATGGAGAGCTCCATGTAGTAATGTTTGAGCCCTTTTATTTAAAAATTGAAATTGGGAAGAAAAATAAATAAGAGCTGGTATCTGTAATGTTTACTGACCTGCTAGAATTTTTCTAAGCTTAAATGATTTTTAAAACATTGAATAACACTACACAGATTGCACCTTGATAAGATAGGGTAAGATATGGACAAAGAGGAACATCCACGAACAACGGAAGCCAGGAAGTGTTGATACTATGCAGGAAGTGGCCATGAATCTATTAGCCAGTCCAGTAAAATCATTTTTATCACCACTGACTCTAAGCTGGTGAGAACAAAAAAGCTGGTTCAGGTTCTAGAATTGGCAAGAATGAGGGCGATGACTCAACTACATTTGGCTTTTGCTTTGATTCACAATTATACTGGCAAAGAATCCTTGCAAAGAATAAACACAAGAATAAGAATGCAAGTCAGTAGATGCTCCCTGAGGCTTTGTTTTATTCCATACAAAGACAAAGCCGAAGTTCAGTACTACCAGAATCCCATGCAGAGGGAGGAGTCCTCCTAGTTAGCACAGTATAAGATGTAGGAATGTGGTCTTTTATAACCATCTTGTTGGGGGACCACAGCAAAACTGAAAGGGCAAGCCCTCTTTCTTTTAGTGACAGACTTGCAGCACCACAGATATACGCATACTTCTGTGTTCTACTTCTTATGCTTCATCTAACCAACAAAACTTTCAGCGCAATAGGCTTGGCTATGGCCTACCACAAGCCCTGATTAGAAAGTCTTCCCTACTCCCTAAGTAGACGGGAGAGGAAGCTCATTTCACAAATACATACTCAGTTTAAGAAACAGAAATACACATCACCTAAGAGGGAATGAGCATTCTTTGGGTAGTAAAAGGCCACCAAGGTATTGCTCATCATAAACAAACAAACAAACAAATAAAGTCTTCAGAGGTATCAATGAATCCTTTGTACTTAGTTTCTTGGCACTCAAGCAGGAAGTACCACGAAAGAGTCCTGAAATAAGAACATAAAACTCCACCTCAAATCTACAAAAACAAAAAGTGTGGAATGAATGAAATCTTGACAATATAAGGCAAAGGGAAAGTTGACCTCCAATTTCTTCAACTCAGACGTATCAAAGTCATTTCTGCAAACAAAAAAATTAAATTTTCAAGTTTTTCTTTCTGTTTGGCCTGGAAAAATTATCATACAGAAATACATTAACCTTTTTTAGTAATATCTAAAACAAATAAAAAAGAGGGAAAAAGTCAAACATATGTTTACAATATATCAGCTTATCAGAATTGCCACAATCATATGCTCTAATAGAGTGACCCTGTTTGAAAGTCATCTTTTCTCACACAGTTTTTATTTCCTTGTGAAGTTATACTTTTCAATATCCCACAAATAAAATTAATTAGGGCACATACCACATTGTGTTCTTAGCAAAATGACTGAGTATGCGTATGTACATATATATGTATATATACACTCAGTATATATATATACTTGTAGGTCACAGCTAACCTTATTTATACTGCTTAGGTTAAAGTATACAGAAAAGAAATATTGTATTAGAAATCCAAAAGCTATTCCAAGGATAACCTAATTCTATAATTTCTAGAGCTACACATAAGTGAAAAACACATACTTGCAAAGCAGACTAGTGTACTGCTGTGGATGAATTCACTTTGAAAGCAAGGGGTATAAACCATGTTTGCCCTACTAAAAATGTCTTCATTCATTTTATTAGTTGCTATCTGATTCTGTGCAAAGAATGTAGAGAAGATAGGGCTATGGAAAAGTGAGAATCTGAGCAAGTGACCACCCACTCATGAATTACATTCAGAAATCATGATAAAAATCTTCTGTGTTTATCCATCTCTTTTATAATAAGTATTTTAGTGGCTGAGAAAAATATTTTCTTTCTGTTGTCACTGGTATATCATCACTTAAATGGGACTATGAGAAAGTGACATAGAGGTTGGGAAAATGGACTATTTTCTATTCTCTCCAAATGTGTGACATCTTAACCTACCATTTACTTCCAATAAGCTCCCAAAGTCTCCATGTTTGTTCTTGCCAGATACTAAAAATAACTCTGAACTTTTCACTTCTTTATGTACCAGTTGATAATCGAATTCATGAAATGTGTCACAAATAAAACCAATGCCTAAAACTAACTTAAAATGTTAATACTGTAGAAATAAAGCACCAATTACTGAATCTGGAGGGCACTTGTTGGGATGAGCAATGGGTGTTATATGTAAAACAATTCGACAATAAACTATTTTTTAAAAATAAAAAAAATTACGGTTTTCTATTTAAAAAAGAATAATTTCATTCTCTCAAACTAGAATAACATGATTGAATATTATTTCCAGAATAAGCAAATATATTTATTACTACTATGTACCAAGGGGAAAACATGATGGAGGACAAGCACTTGATCAGAATCAATAAAGACTTTACTCAAAAATGAACAGTATATTTCAGAAAACAGAGATGGTTGCTTGGTTCTATAACAGAGTAAACTCAAAGATAAAAACATTGTCAACTGAGGGAAATTCTTTATGAGACAATCCATCACCCTCCGTCAAGAACATGGCAGTTTCAAAATTCACTTATTTATTCAGTGTTTTTCTGTTTTTGATTTCTGTTTTTTGTTTGTTTTTTTCTTTGGTGCCTGTTTTGTACCAGCTACCATTGTAATCACAGAAGAAACAAGGAATCAAAGACACAATGAGAGTACAAGTAAGGTAAGAAAGGAACACTTACAGAAAGGATTTTTTAAGCGGCTTAATGTCAAAGAAACATTGGATTGGAAGAGAATACAGTGACAATATATATTCTTGAAAGGATAAAGAGGGGCCATGTTATGAAACAGTCTAAACACGAGGGTACAGGGGGTGGGTAGGGATAGTGGGTGATTGATCTATTTATGGATACTGATAATTTTTAATTAAAATGTTTAAATGCCAATACCAAAAATAAAAGTAAACAGCACAAGTAGGAAGAGGGTAATAAGATTTAAATTTTTTCTAAGGAATTTCCAAGTACATATGTGGCAGAGTTTTATGAGATGTCTGCTGCAGAAAATTGAAAGGTAAATAAAACATGGGCACTTGGAAGTATTACTGGGGTCAGACCGAGATGGGAGATCACAAATTTATTATGATACCAGTTTCCACATTTTTGTGATTTCTGATAGCATTCAATACCCCCAGTGAAAAATTGGAGCAAAACTTCTCAACTAAGAGAGGACAAGGATTTTGCCAGATGTGAAATGGAAGGAAAAGAGTACAAAGAAAAGATTTGGGGAAAGGAATTATTTAAGTTCTGTACAAGGTCTTGGCTGGATGGTAAGGAGACGGTGAATGAGAAGAGTCACGAAGAAAAAGAGGTGTGTCAAGGTGCTGGAGATTGGCGGCACACGGACAGAACAAGATGATTACTGTTCTTTGATTGATGATTTTAAAGAGATGAAGTTCCAGATAATATCATGATTCAGAACAGAGTCACTGGCCAATGGTTAACATGCAAAGGAGTGAAATACCAATTAAGGTAAACTGGTTAAACATTTCTATAGGCTATTAATTGACTTTCCAACCTATATATTTGAATCAACCAAAATATGGGGCACCTGAGTCGTGCAGTTGGTTAAGCATCTGACTCTTGATCTCAGCTCAGGTCATGATCTCACGGTGTGTGGGTTCAAGCCCTGCATTGGGCTCTGGGCCAATGGAGCAAAGCCTGCTAGGGATTGTGTCTCTCCTTCTGTCTGCCCCTCCCCAGCTTGTGCTTTCTCCCTCTCTCAAAATAAATAAACTTAAAAAAAAAAAACCCTCAATTCATAATGCTAACAGGAGACAAGAAAAAGGAAAACTGTCATCCAAATTTCTAAATTTGAAGAGGTAATAAAGAAGATGATAGAAGATACTGACAGGATAGGCGATGACAATGTAAAAGGCAAAATGAAATAAAACAATACATCTTGGATGAGCTCTGTATTTTTTAATGTCTCACTTCCCAGCTTCTGAAAAGGATCACATACTGACATAAAAGCCCATCACTGTAAGGTCATGACCACCTACTCAAATGACCCCTCCCACAGTATCACCCAGATCCTAGCAGGTGTCTTGGTCAATAAGTCCTTTAACCTAGTTCAAAATCTTTCTCCACTTTGTCAGATTCTATCGAGAATATTTAAATTCCAAAAACATCCTCAAGTTAGCACTACAAAGCCTATATACCTATTCAGATTGCTTCTTTCTCTACCTCCTTTGCTCTTTTTCTACAGAAGGTGTTAATTGCTAGTCCAGGTCAACTTATACTCCGTGTCTTAGAACCTATTAAATTCCACATTTTTTAGGTCTCCATCAAACATCGCTTTACTTTTCTAAAATTCTTTTGTTTGTTTGTTTTTGTTTTTGGAACCCGTGTCTTGGCACTTGAGGATATAACTGGTGGACTGAAAGACATAGTATGGAGGGGGTCAGAGCCCTTTCCCTCTTCCTTAGTACATTCTGGGAATGGGGACCCCCTTTGACCCCCACCAAGAAAAGGAGAGTATACTTTTATATTTTTAATCTCTGGACCTTTTCATAGATATTTAAACATGCTCAAAAACTCCCATCTTAGAAAAAGCTCCTTCAAATTTCCATTATTCTCCAAAAACAGTTTTTTCTTTCAAATCTTTACAGACAAACTTTTTGAATGAGTCACTCCATCTCCATTTCCTGAGCTCCTACTCACTCCTTAACACATTTTCACCTGGGTTTCACCCCAATCACCATGGCAACACATCTTTAGCTAAAATCACCGATGATCTCCCAGTGTTCAAATCCAATGGATGTTTTTCATTCCTTATCTCAATCTCTCAGCAACATCTAGCAGGGGTGATTACTTTGTCTTTCTTATAAGATGTTTTCCCCTAGTCTTTGAAATACCATAGATTTCTGCTATTGTCTTCCTTCTGTGTGACACTTCGTTTTCACTTTTTATATTCTGTCTATTACAACATACTCTAAAAATTCATCAAGATTTGTACCTAAAATTATATTTTTATCACTCTACATTCTTTTCTCAGGGAGTCCTACCTACTTCAAAGGAATCAAGTACTACCTGTATCACCAAATTTATATATCTTTTTCCCAGATTGCTGCTCTCATCTCTTAACTTATGAAGCCAGCTAGGAGTACCTAGGTGGCTCAGTTGGTTAAGCATCCGACTTCAGCTCAGGTCATGATCTCACTATTTGTGGGTTTGCGACTTCAGCTCAGGTCATGATCTCACTATTTGTGGGTTTGAGCCCCGCATCAGGCTCTATGCTGACAGCCAGTTCAGAGCCTGGAGCCTGTTTTGGATTCTGTGTCTCCCTCTCTCTCTGACCCTCCCCTGTTCATGCTGTCTCTCTCTCTCTCTCAAATAAATAAAACAATAAAAAAATTATGTTTGGATGAAATGAAAAGAGTACGGTTTTCCGCATCAGAGTAAAGGAATAATAATCTCTAGACACATCTTTGTGTGTGTGTGTGTGTGTGTGTGTGTGTGAGTGTGTGTGTGTGTGGTATTTTTTTTTGTCCTTGTTTTGGGAAAGTCCTACTTTTTCTCAAGATGCAATTCAAATTCTAAATTATCTGTAATGAATTTCTTATCCTCTTACTCTCATCTCCTCTAGCAGCCTGCTTTGTACTTCCTGCTCACCTATCTTCTCTCACTGCCCATAACTCACGATGTTATAATTTCTGTATCCATGTGTCTTCCTCTAACCCCCAAACTAGGACCCACTTAGTATCAGGTCTGGGTTCTAATCATAAATTCCTTCCCAGAACTTACTACTCTAATGTAGGAGAGATGCTAAAAAAATTTTTATTGAACAACTGAATGCCAAAAGAGCAGTAAGTTGTGTTTTGAGGTTTTCAAAGATATATTAATAGATATTCCCAAAAGAAGGGATTCTGTGATTAAACAAGGTCAGGGAAATTTGCACTAAATCCCCCTCCTAGAGATTCCAACACACACTTGCATCTGAAGAACTATAAGAAGTCCTGAAAATAGAAAACTATTTAATTTTATTTAATGTTTGGATAAGGAAAGTTTTCCTGCCCTTTTCTTCTTCTAACACACATAATAGCATTCCCCAAGCAATTATCCCTTATGTCTTAACATAGTTTGGATTTGGGTTTTAACTTTTTAGGATCAGCAAAACAGATGTTAAAGAAACAGAGCTTATGTACATTCTCTTTACCCAGGACTTTCCCCAAAAGTAAGGCACAGGGGATAATTCCTTTGACACTGCTTTGACATTTCATAGTGGAGAAGAAATTTTGATCAGAATACTGCTTCCATACTGTTGCCATATACACCAAACCTAACAGACTCTTATTGTTTTCTTTTTTATAAAGTTTCTAATTTTAAGAACAACATCGTCCAATCATAAGGAACAACAATATTGTTAGAGCCACACTGAAATCATTGTTTTGTTTGCTTTGAGAGTGTTCTTACAAAGATAATATAGTTACCTGACACTAAATGTACCAACAAGCAGTTATGTAAGTAACTTAAATGACAGAAGCATCCATGTCTCCGAAATAGAATTTCCACATGAAGGCCAAAAACCTTTACTACTTCACCTTGACAATATGGTTTCTGATAGAGTTTACCGTACATTCAAAACCAGCAACCCAAACACAACAGCAGTCCCACCGTGAATGGCTTTTATGCTATGCTTTCTTCAGTGTGTGACAGCGAAGGAAACTCTATTTGCCAAATAGAAAGTTCTGACATATGGGGTGGCAAATAACATTATGTAATGATAAAGCACCCATCTTGGTATCCAGAACTCTTATTAAGAACAACAGGATAGCAAAGTGACTCATCAGCTTGTGTGCTCTTTCTCAATTCTAGTAATTTGGGACAAGTGTGGGGAAGTTACAAGTTGTTTATGTGCAGCCCCAAATGACAGGCAACACGTGTTACTAAGCAACATTAAGGACTTGCGTTCTTCTAATCTTTAAAAGCTTCCACAAGCTGAAAAATCCTGTAATATAAAGGTAAAGGGAAAAGCAATGTGGGAGTCATGTTTCTGACTGAATGAAAATATTTTGCTCAATAATTCTAAAATTCTGATTCACCATGAGTTCATCTGTCTTGGTTTCAGGATTCCTTCAGGTACATAATCCTCCTTTCATCACTGTCAACACCAGAAACTTATTCTAGCATGATAAAAAAGAGAATGGATGGGAGGCGTGTGGAAATGGTTCTTATAGATCTTGAAACCAGTTTGTTCCCCAGTAAATTGAACCTCTGTTCTTCTCTATTTCAATTCTTGGTTTCTTTCATAGCACTTAATACAACAATACATCATGTATTTGCTTCCTTGTTTATTTTATTGGCTTGTGTCTTTCTCTTTCACTGTAGTACTTTCAGTACTGTAGAAACTTGTCCTTTATTTTATTCTTCCTTCCCTGAAGCTGGCATATTGCCTGACAGAGTAGTCCATCAATGACTAAAGAATGAAATAAAATAGGGGCGCGTGGGTGGCTCAGTTGGTTAAGTGTCCAACTGTTGATTTCAGCTCAGGTCATGAACTAACAGTTCATGTGTTCAAGCCCCACTCCAAGCTCTGCATTGGCAGTGCAGAGCCTGCTTGGCACTCTCTCTCTCTCTCTCTCTCTCTCTCTCTCTCTCTCTCTCTCTCTCGCTCCTCTTTATCTGCCTCTGCCCTGCTCATGCGCTCTATCTCAAAATAAATAAATGAGTAAACTTTAAAAAAAAGAATGAAATAAATTAAAGCACAGGATCCTGGTGTTAGTAGTCCTATTTCTTAAGGTAACAGTTGTGGTAACTGTGTTTATTTATATAAAGCTTAAAATTTCCCAGAGGTACCTGTGTGTTACTTACAATCTCTATAATACAATGTTAAGAAAGGCAAGTGAGAATTCCCCTGTCTGTACTTCTTTTCATGAAGGAATCGGTGAAGGGAATTCCTTGGTCAAAAGCCCGGGGAAAAACATTCCCTTACATTCTCTGTCTCAGCAAAACAAGTTGCTGAATAAACTACAAACTCATCTTTTGTGCTTGAAGTTCTGTTTTCAGGTCAAGGATCCTGTAATGCTCTTCCACAGCACCTCTATTTCTTCCTCCTTTCCAGTTCATATAATTCAAAAGGAGTCCATCTACATAATAATAGATTTCCTCACATAAGAGATCACACTTTCCCAGTCTGCATAGGTCCAAATAGGAAAATAGCCAATAAGGATGAAACTAGAGTATCAGTTTGCATATTAAATGGAAGATATCTATGACTATCTTTTAAAAATGCTGGAGGAAGAAAAGTCAAAGGCCTCTCTCTCATTATGGTGCTAGCTGAAGGGAAAAGAATATTTCTTTGTTTTTAATATTTTAAAGTTTATTTCTTTATTTTGAGAGAGAACACAAACTTGAGCTAGGGATGGGCAGAGCAAAGGGGAGAGAAGGAATCCCAAACAGTCTCCGTGCCATCTCAAACCCACAAACCATGAGATCATGATCTGAGCCGAAATCCACAGTCAGTCGCCTAACCGACTGAGCCACCCAAGTGTCCCAAGAATTAAAATTTCTAAGGGTTGATTGTGTGCCCTCCACTCTCCTGGAAGTATTTACACATGCTATCTAATTTATCTTTGTTACCAGACACCATTTTTTAAAAATAATACAATTAAAACTTTTTGGGTAAAATAATAAGTTAAAATGACCCTACTGAGAGACTGTTTCTAATAACATCTGATATATTTTATAAGTCTCATAAATATTTCATTAATATAAAACTAAAATGCAAACAGCTGTTAAATTTATATTTTACTTACAACATTTTCTTTGCTATTGGTACTTTACTTTTTACCTGAGACAACATCCTAAGTAAATAGGAAGTAATAAAAAGCTAATATTTTTTAGTATTTATTATGTTCCTTCTCTTCTAAGCCTCTTACACACAAGATTAAACCATGTAATTCAATGAAGTGGATATCATTTTCATTATCCCTATTTTACAAAGAAAAATCTAAACCACAGAATTTAAGTTACTTGCTCAAGGTTATCCAAGTAGTAAAGATTTGCAAAAGAATAAGTGTTAACCCCTGTATCTCAGTGCCTAAGAAGGAAATAATGAAATTCAAATGGGCAACTCTGCGTACTGAGAAATTTCACATGGAATTGATTTCCTACACCTTTAACCACAATTCTGTCTTCATGAATAATCAAAATATGATATAAGCCAAGACTCAGTAAAGAAAAAAGAAATATAAAGGAAAGTCTAGCTATTTCACTTAGGTAATCTCATCCTGAGATAACTTTGTTGATGGAGCTCCAAAAGGATCTTAAAAAGCTACCACACATCTCATCACATCTGTTCTTCTCCTGATTATAACTCTTATTGGACAACTGATTTGTGCGGATTAGAAAGAGAGTAAAATAGAATTATTTGACCTAAGATGACACTTTTAATGAAAATGCTGTATTTGGAAAGCCCTATGCAATGTCCATCCAGTTCACATCATTGTGATGTTTAAATACTTAATGAAAGA